CGCCTGATTACAGAGAATGAAGCCGACTGCGAGGAGCGCATGAAGCTGGCTTGGGGCCTCATCCATCCGGACTCTGACTTTGACTATTTCCACCTCCGTTACTTGTATGCTTCTGAAGTTTATGAAGCTCGAGTACTCGGCACTCCTGCCCCTCCTCCTTTCGACGAGTGGGCTGAGAAGGAGTTAGGGTCAGAGCCGGATGGGGTGCCAATGGGAAACCAGCCGGAGCAGCTGCAGGAGCAGACGGCTGAGACCCAGGTTGGGCAAGCTCAAGGGTTGGAGCAGCCTCAGCAACAAGAGCAACAGCAAGATTGATATTTTCTTCTTTTTTTTTTACCGGCCTGCGTGCCGTGTATTTTCGATGTATCTTTCCCGGACAGGGGTCCGGCTAACATTTTAATTAATCTATTAACCGACACAGTCGGGTTTTCTATCTATTATTTACAATTTTTTTTTTTTTTTTTTTTTTTTTTATATGCATTTTTTTTTTTATATACGCATTTTTACAAGTATTTCAGACGGATGAAGAAGAGATACCACAATATGCCCCTGAAATGGCTACCTGTTTACCCCAGCAGTAGACAGGAAGTCATTTCATGGAAGCCGGATGGGGGGTCAGTGACTGACCTAACCTTGCCCCGTCTGGTACAATTATATATAGGATGGGATGTAAAACCGTTTAGGTGATTACGGTGGCCCATTAGGAATTTCATTTTTCCGGATGGACCTCTTTTGGGTCCTTGCCGGATGAATCCCAGATGCAAAGGATCATTTCTAACGGCTGCAAATCGTTTTAGACAAACGCCGTTTGAGTTGTGGGATCGCTAGAACAATGTTCCACCCAGAAGGGAGCTGTTCTCTTCAGTGATTCACCCGGATGGGTGTCACCGGATGACTGCTCTTTTTGGAGCAGTGGTTTTAACAAGTGTTCTTCCGTCTGTGTTCTTGCACTAGACAGGTGCAAATACAATTGTATGAATGGAAATTATATGCTTTCACATTTCAATCCTTAGAAGTAGTACTTTTTCAAGTTATCTACATTCCAGGTACGAGGCAGCCGCATTCCGTCTGGGGTTTCCAGACGGTATGTGTCGTTTCTAACTTCTTCAAAAATCCGGTAGGGTCCCTCCCAGTTTGGGGTCAGTTTCCCTTGTTCGTATGCCCTACCAGTTGCTTCAAGCTTTCGTAATACAAAATCTCCAACTTTGAGGGGGCGTTTACGCACCCTTTTGTTGTAGGCCCTCGTCATTCGCAGACGGTAGATTTCATGACGCAAGGCGGCGTTGCCCCTTCTTTCTGGAAGAGTATCCAGAGACAGGCGCATGGCTTCCCAATTTGCCTCTTCATCATACAACATGATTCGAAGTGTTGGCTCATATAATTCAATGGGAAGCACTGCCTCTGTGCCATATGCCATAAGGAATGGAGTTTCACCGGTTGACCCCTTCTCAGTAGTTCTGATGGACCAAAGAACGTGAGTTAACTCTTCTGCCCAAAGCCCGCCTGCCTTCTCGATCTTTTTCTTTATGCCGCTTGAGATGAGCTTGTTGAAAGCTTCAACTTGACCGTTTGCTTGCGGACGGCCAACGGATGCAAAGTAGTGGGAAATCCCTTGATCTTGCAACCAAGTCTTCAGGACAGGCGTTTCGAACTGGGGGCCATTGTCAAAGACCATTGACATTGGTACACCGAACCGGGTGATGACATTCCTCCAAATGAAGGAGATGACATCCTTAGTTTTGATGCCCTTTACCGCCTCGGCCTCAACCCACTTGGTGAAGTAATCAACAGCCACCAAAATGTATCTTCTGCCGCCTGGGGCAGGAGTGTATGGCCCCAAAATATCCATGCCCCATTTTGCAAAGGGAATTGGGCTGTGAATAGCTGTCATATCAGTTGCCGGCTGCCTTATCAGCCGGCCGAACCTCTGGCACTTGTCGCATCTTTTCACCAGATCTAATGCATCCGCCTCAAGTGTAGGCCAAAAGTATCCTTGGCGCCGGGTTCTTTTGGCGAGGGTCCTCCCGCCAATGTGAGATCCACAGAAGCCGGCGTGAAGATCTTCCAGTATTTCCTTGCCCCGGGTTCTTTCTCTTGACCGCCTGTGTCAAGCGTTGGTTTGATGTCCGAGAGGTAACACTCTCTCGCCATCTTTTGGTTCCCACTCAAGGAACCGACTGTGCCGTCATCCCTTTCAAACTTTATCAACATTAGAGATGGGATGATGACTGCCTTTGAGAGGTTAAGGGTTGGACGGCCAATAATCAGATTGTAGGCAGTCAGCTCTTCTACTACAAGGAACTTGACAACCATATGCCGGCCCTTACCCTTCTCTCCGAACCGGATGGGTAGATCAATCATGCCCACCGGATGTACTACTCCTCCCCCAAAACCTACAAGAGGGTATGAGGCCGGAAGCATGCTACTGGGCTTATACTTGAGTTTCTCCAAGCACCGGTAGCTGATGAGGTCGGATGAGCTCCCGGTATCAATCAAGATCCGGCCAACTCTTTGATTGGCGATTTTGCACTCGATGACTATGGGGTCATCATGAGGCCGCCTGACCTCGCCTCTATCTCTCTCGGAGATGTTAACTTCCGGAAATGAATATTCAGACGACTGGCCCTCATCCACCGAGTTGACCAGTTTCCGAATGTTATCTTTTGTACCCCGGATGGTAGGCCCACCTCCCGCAAAGCCACCGGCTATGGTCAGAATGGTTTCCTCATCCGTATCCGATTGAGTAGCCGGATTCTTTGGGGGTGGTCCTCTTGCTTGTTTAGGTGTACCCCTTGACTTGGAAAGATAAGATTTGAGACCCCCCTCATCAGCGAGCCGGTCGAAGAGCCGCCTGAGGCTAAAACAACCCTCAGTGTCGTGGCCAATTTCCTCGTGAAAAAGACAATATTTGCTCTTATCCCGGGCGCTTAGAGGACTCTTCATAGGAGACGGTTTTTCAAGATTCAACCGGTCCTTTACTTCGTTGAGAATGGAGGCACAGTCCTTGTTGAACTCGTACTTTGGCACATACGGATCCGACCTCTTCCTTTTCTGGAAAGGTTGTCCGGATGAGTCTGCCGCCCATACCCCCTTTCTCTTGTCTTCCTTTTTGGCCGACTGAGTAGGCCGATTCTCTTTTTTATCGGATCTTTTGTAATCCGTTGGAAGTTTAACAGCACACAATTCCACTGCCTGAATGTAGGCCTCCGCCTTCATGAGTGCCTCGTGAAGAGTGGAGACCCTCTTCCTAACCAAGTCAAACTTAAAAGTTGATCCATCTTTTAAGCCTTTGAAGAAATCAGTATAGGCAACGTCATCAGACAATCCATTGATTTGGATCCTCATCAGGTTAAACCGCCTGACATATGACCGGAGCCCCTCTTTGTCTCCCTGTTGTATTGCCCCTAGATCAAGGCTTGTTTTCTTGGCAGGGATGTTCATAGAAAAGTTGGACGTAAACCAGTAGGCCAAGGTCCTGAAATTATTGATGCATCCGGCTGGGAGGTTACCAAACCAACGTTGAGCAATCCCTTTCAACGTTGCCGGGAAGCACCGGCACCATGCGGCATCATCCAAACCCTGCAAATACATCAGGTTGGTGTATGCCATAAGGTGATCTTCCGGGTTGGTGGTACCGTCGTAGGCACCTACCAACACGTTTTTGATTTTAGACGGCTGGGTCATCTCGGTAATTTCTCTGGAGAACGCCGTTGGCTGTTCCCCAAGGTTGAGCAGCCGGAGCTGCCAGTCCATAGGCTGGACGGGCGACTGATGCTGCCCCCCGAAAATACCTGCCTGTGCATAGGGGGATCCAAAGGGTGTATACGGTGTTCCATGCACTGCCGGTTGGATCATATGGGGGCCGGATCGAGCGGAAACCTCGCTCGTCCGGCTGTCATTGTTTGTTCTCGAGTGCCTTCCTGAGGTGGCATTAAAGCTGTCTCGAAAGGTCGATGTTGATGCCGACTCGGATCGCTGAGTCTTTTTATCTTGGATGAGGGTCCGGGCATCAGAATAGACTTTCTTGGTTCCATCCGGCTGAATGTGCCGGACGGGCTTTCTGACTCCATCTATAGGAGTGTGCATCTTTGAAAAATCAAAGAGCCTAGCTGGCATGTCTGACTTCGGATGTGGGGTAGATGCTCTACCCTTGACTGTTTTGGCCGTCTTTTTACCGTGACGCCTTTCTTCCGCCTGACCCTTACGGGGGCCGGCTGTGGAGTCCAGAAGGCCTTTGATCTCTCCTTTGAAGCTCATCATCATATTCATGAGCTCATCTCTGGAGACTGGGGAGTCTCCAGCGGTAGAGGTTAACCCAAGCGGCCCCCTAGTTGGCTTGCTAGGAGCCGCCTGGTTCCCTTCCCGTTCTCTCTTATCTTTGGAACGGGTGTTCTTGGTCCTCAAAGAGCCATCTGCAGCAGTGTAGGCTTCCAAGTCATAGTTATCGGCTGTATCTTGGTCCGAATGGACCTCAACCTCCCCAGTAGGCATATTGCCTTTACCAGGTAGTATAGGCTCAGATGTCATCTAGAAAGTACTCTCCCCACAGACGGCGCCAGATGTTTGGGGGTTTTCTGTGTCCTTCGGGAGAGTTACAATTTCCTAGCAGACTTCCTTCTTACGCCTGTACCTGCACCTAGCCGACTTCCTTCTTGCGCCTGTACCTGCACATGTAACGGAGACTCCGGATGGGGGGTGGGAGTTCCGCCTCCGAAGATTAAGTTAGTATCTTTTCGAAGTGGATTAAGAACAACAAAAGCTTCTCGGTTCGAGAGCGTTTCCGTAGGTTTGGACTTTGTTTGTTTTTTTTTTTGTGGTTGCAATTAATGTATGTGTCCCATAAATGAGGTCTACCCTTACTATTTATAGTAAGGGAGAACTGTACCTCAATTAGGGTATAAGGGACACGTGTCTGCAAAGGAAATGGGCCTTTGCAGACCGCTGAAGGATTGACACGTGTCAAGCCTTTATTGGGCCACGTGTCTTAGGGTATTTTCACCCTAAACACTTATTAAGCAAGCTTTATCCCAGGTAAACACATTGGTGACAACATTCTCTTGGCTACTAAATTGATTAAAGGTTACACTCATAAATTCATCACCCCTAGATTGGGGAAGTTCTTATTGGATAAAAAAATTTAAAAAAAAAAAAAAAAAAACGTGTAAATTGTTGGGGTGGCTGTTTTTTTTTTTTCTATTCTTTTTTTTTTTATCCAATAAATAATTGACACGTGCAATGTGGGGCCCACTAACGGTTTTTTGGATGGAAAACGTTAATGGGTAGTGCTATCCAAACTTTTTCAAACTTGCGGGTAGTTGTAAACAAATAAAAAAAAATGGGTAATTGTTCACAAATGATTCTATCTTACGGGTAGTTCTAGACAAAATTCCCATAGAATTATGTAGTTTTAAAATAAAGGTATTTTAGTCATTTTATTAGAGTTGCTTAAATTAGTCGATTCAACTCCTGCCCTTCAATTTCTCGAAAAAAAAAACACTCCTACGCTTCAACTCCATTGAGGTGTACTCTGTAATCTGTATTCCTCCATTAAAGCATCTTCTAACCTTCTCTCTCCTCCATTGAAACAGGTGATGTTAAGACTTTAAAAATTATCACTGAATATTGATTTTGAAAAAAAAAAAACAAATTATCATCGAATATCAATTTCACGGTCTAGGGTTTAATTTCATACTATCGTTGATGTAGTTATCAATTTAGGGTTGCTTAAACAAGCGCTTTTATTGCTAGAATGTGCTTTATGCAATTTAAATAGATTTTCTAAGCGAAAATAATTTTATGCGTTTTTTAGCTAAATTTAATAATTGAGTCAATTTGGTTGTTAATGTGTTCAAGGCTTATGCTTATAATCTTTAATGTTTGAGTAAAAAAAATAAAATAAAAATAATCTTTAATGTTTGGGTTTACAGTATTGAATGATAGTTTAGTCACATACCAGATATTTTTTCTTCTAGTGAAGGATGGCAATTGATTTACTCAAAAAAAAAAAAAAAAAAAAAAAAAATTGATAATTGATCGCTTCTAAACATGAAAAATAGTCGAATTCAATTGCATTTTAAAAATTTATTACTAGTAATTTTGAATTTCGGATTGTGTTATTGGATTCAAATATTGAACATGATGAATATGTTCCTAATTGTGCTGATATGTAATCTTATACAAAATTGTTAATTCTTCTATTCCTTTATTTTTATCGATAGATTTACAATGTCAGAGAGCATGGATGAGATCAAAATTATTGGAAATAATCATCCTGAAGATGTCAAATGGCTTTGTTCACTATCTTAGTCGAAACTTGTAAGCTTGACCTTATTCTATGATCAATAGGCTCATCCGCTTATAGTATGTCACGAATTCATGTTTAATTAGGCCAAGTAATATAAATTTTTATCTTGAATAGTTTGTAACAAGCTAACAAGAGCTTTAATGGCAAGGCTGGCGACAACTGTCTTTCTTTGATTTTGTTGATTGGATCAAGCATGATTCTACAAACTAAGAACATTTGTTACCGCTCATCAGCATAACTGTTGCGGTTCATTACTTAGTCAGAAAACTAATATTTGGTTGATGTTTAGATAGTGTTATAGTGGACATACAAATTTAATTGATGATAATTAGCAAATTCATGTTTCAAAAGTTAAACAGATTAAACCAAATTTTCTATATTTTTTTACGTCGTATGCTGCAGTTTATTTTCTCTCTGTGTAATCTAAAAGCATTGAGATACCAATGTCATAATTTTCTACACTAGCGCTTATTCCATACTCTAAAAGTATAATATTCAATGTGGTGCCACTGGGGTGGAGGGGCTATTGCTGTAGACATTTAGTTCTGCATATTTATTATAGATTTGCAACAATCCGTTGGGTTCAACAATGTAAAGACTGATCTGACTAATATTGTTAGGCTATTGTTTATAATCTAGTTGTGGCTAGAAGCTGGATGATAGCTTATGTGAATCGTTTACCTCCTTATGTTTATATATATATATGAAGCCCATTGATAAAACGCGAGTTAATTAATTTGTTGATGCATAATTTATTGCAAAACTTTATTACTGACTTGATGGTAATACAACGTTGACAGGACATGCTTATCAGCCTAAAGAAGCTTGCCCTTCAACGAGCTCAAGCCGTAGGGCATGAAAGTCTAGCCCAGAAATTTGATCTGAAAATGCTCCGAGCGCTTGGCAAGTTCCTACGTTATTTTTTTTTTTTTTACCTTTTTTAATAAAAAAAATAAAAATAGAATGGCATAAGTGTTTGATGTTATTTTATGATGAGTGTTCTTTTTTTCTTTTTTTTTTTTTTTTTTTTTTTTTTGTCTTTTCCCTCCATTTTATATCTCCTAGAAATCTCATATTCTGTAAAATGTTCACCCATCTGAAACTTTGACTTTGTGCCCATTATTTCTGTTATACTGCCTATCCTGAGTTTTAAATAAGGTATTTGGTCAAATTAAATGAGGTATTTAAAACGTGAGTTTTAAATGTGTAATTATAAAAATTGGCACATTTGAGTTTTAAATGTGGTTATGCACCTTTTGGGTGACAGCTAGGAGTAAGAACTCTGAATGATTTATATGCATTGTTGTGCCTTTTGTCTGCTATGCTTGTTTGAAAGTTAAATGTGCCAAGTTTTATAATTACACAGCTTTCAATGGATGTATTGAACAAAGAAAACTGGAGTCTGCAGATTGGCACAACTGATTTATCTCCTTATCTGCATGCTTCTGCAGGATTTATATTGATGCAACACATCAGAGGAGAAGTAAATGAATTGCAATTGACAGGATTAACTGGGTTGGCAGATCTGGTAAATGGATGTAATCTATTGAAATTGAATAGAGTAAAGACGGGAGAGCAAGCAAACACAGGAGAACAATCAGACACTGGAAGTCAAGCAAATGCAAAGACTGGAGGTCAAGCAAAGGCAAGGTATGTTTACCCACTCTTGGGTGTAGGAGGTTGAAGAGCTTACCACTATTCAACCCCTTGTCCTCAATTTTTTCTATCACAATAATAATGAAATAGTAATGGAGGGTGAGGAATCATAATATTGCCCTTGGAACTGTAATACTAATATTGGCCAGTTTGTCAACTAGATGTTATTAACCTTCACGGGTAGAAACTAGTGCTTGCCTCCTTATGATAGATCCCAACTTACATTATAAAAAAATAGAGCATACATATGCTTTTTGATTAGAGGATTTTGCTCCCACCAATCGGAATGCGCCACGTGGACCAATCAGGTCCTGCCAAGTGTCCCCCAGTTGGAACAGTCAGGGCTTCCCACGTGGCACGCGCTTATTCGTCCACCTTGGACCTGTTATGTCAAGACATGTGGCATACTCCATGCCTAATGGAGAAACCGGCCACCCAGGCCCAACTTCCGAGGGAAGCCCAATCGGCCCTAGGTTTACCTAAACCTAGGATGGGCACGTTTTCCAAGGTTATAAATACCTCCCTTAATCCTCATTAAGGGAGAGAACAGAAACATTACGGAAAAAACACATTAATTACATATAGTAATAACCGGCTGATCTCGCTAACAAAGCAGATTACCTACATTAAACACTCTCCCCTAGAGAGACCAAATCACTTTAATTTCCCCATTAATTACTCCTTAATCAGGTACTAACTTGACCGTTGGAGGCGGAGCTCACAGGAGTCTCCGTTATTTTGCAGGTACAGGCGTCCGGTTCCAGTCTCGGAATTGTAACTCTCCCGCAGGACATCAGAAAACCCCGAAACATTTGGCGCCGTCTGTGGGGAGAGTACTTCTGAGATGGCATCCAAGTCTGTACCGACTCCTGAAGAGAGGCGTCCCCTAGACGACCCTCAAGTTCAGTCGGACCATGATACCGAAAGTGAATTTGAAGTTGAAGCTCATACAGCTTCAGACGGGACCCTAAGGGCCCGACGTACCCGTCATACTGAAAGGAGGGAACGGGAACATCTTCAAACAGGAAGCGAGCCAGCAGGCGCACCGCCTGTTCGGCAACAGCCGACTGATGGGTCTGCTCCCATCACAAGGAACGAACTCATGACCTTCATGAGGGACTTCAAGGGAGAGATTCAAGAGTTGATCAACAAGAAGCCGCCTGCTCCAGTCAAGGAGCAGTCGGCCAAGAAACCCTCCACTTCACTGAAGAGGAAGCCAGTTCAAGGGCGAGAGGCGACTCCTCATCCTAAATCTAGGAAGCGGGAGCCACCTGCCCTTGATTTCACAAAATTCCGTTATCCTACAGGAAATAGGAAACCTGTTCGTCATATTCAGGCGGACGGGTCGAAGCAAACATTCACAGATGCTCGGCTACTGCTAGAGCAGAAGAAGAGTGACCGATTGTCAGAGTCGGCCTCTACTTCAAACTTTCAAGACAGTTTGCGAAATGCCTCGATGAGGCATACTCAGTCGTACCATGAGAGTCAGTCAGGCGGCACCTCCCGTCAGTCCGGCTTTCATAGTGACCAGGCGGTACCAAACTTACCATTTGTGCCGCAACAACAGTATTTTTTGCAGCCACCTCCGTTTGGTGGACCTGCAGCAAAAAACGTCCAACCTATGGACTGGCAGCTACGGTTGCTTAGACTTGGTGAACAGCCGTCAGCCTTCTCCAAGGAAATTACTGAAGCCGCTCAGCCGGCCAAAGTGAAAAATGTACTAGTAGGCGCCTATGACGGCACTACTAACCCAGAAGACCATCTGATGGCATTCACCAACCTGATGTACCTTCAAGGGTTGGATGATCCCACTTGGTGCAAGTGTTTCCCAGCGACTCTCAAAGGAATCGCACAGCAATGGTTCGGCAACCTGCCGACTGGTTGTGTAAATAGCTTCAGGACGCTTGCTTACTTATTCACCTCCAACTTCGCCATGAACATCCCTGCGAAGAAAACGACCCTTGATTTGGGAACAATTCAGCAGGGTGAGAAGGAGGGGCTTCGTTCTTACATCAGGCGGTTTAACCTGATGAGAATACAGATTCAAGGGTTACCGGATGAGGTAGCCTATACTGACTTTTTCAGAGGTCTCAAAGACGGGTCTACCTTCAAATTTGATTTGGTTTGAAAAAGGGTGGCGACTCTTCAAGAGGCCTTGATTGAAGCAGAATCCTATATACAGGCGACTGATCTTTGTACAATAAAACAGTCGGACGGGAAAAGGTTCGACAAAAGAGAAGGACGACAGAAACAGTCGTCTAACAAAGATGAGAAAAGAAAAGAGGTCTGGGCGGCTGATTCCTCTAAACAGCCGGCCCAGAAAAAGAAAAAAGAATTCAAACCATACTCCCCAAAGTATGCGTTTAACAAGGATAACCAGTTTATCCTAAAAGAAATCAAGGGACGGATCTCAATTGAGAAGCCGGTCCCCATGAAGGGTTCTGCAAACAACCGGAACCAAGATAAATTCTGTGCTTATCATGATGATGTTGGTCATCACACCAATGACTGCATCAGTCTCATGCGGTACCTAGACCGCCTGGCTGAGCAAGGTGATCTTGACACTTATGTCAAGAAATCTACGGGGAACACTTCCTCAAAAAAGCAGTCGGCCAAAAAGAATCAGCAGGCCGACAGCTCTGATACAGATGATGCAGTCGTCTATACCATTGCAGGTGGCTTCTCAGGAGGCGGCCCCACTATTAGGGGCAACAAAGACAATATCAGGCGGTTAGATGTAAATTCCGTTCACCAAGAACGGCCGTCCAAATATTCATTTCCTGAGATTGCCATCACTGAAGAAGATCTTGGAGGGGTAAGGGGGCCGCATGACGACCCTCTCGTTATTGAATGTAAAGTGGCCAACCAGAGAGTTGGCCGAATCCTCATAGATACCGGAAGCTCCTCAGATCTCATCAGTAGCAAATGTCTGTCGAAACTAAAATATCAGACTGATTGCATACATCCGGCCTCCCACCCTTTAGTAGGGTTTGGAGGAGGAGTCGTCCACCCACTGGGACGAGTAGATTTACCCATCCGCCTGGGCGAAAAAGGGGAAGGACGACACATGGTAGTCCGGTTCCTGGTAGTAGAGGAACTCTCGGCCTACAACATGATTCTGGGTCGACCTACCCTGAATAATTCCAAGGCTGTTATAATCCCATCTCTTATGTTGCTCAAGTTTGAGAGGGATAATGGAACAGTCGGCTCCCTAAGGGGAGATCAGAGGATAGCCTGAGAGTGCTATCTCTTGGATGTCAAGCCCACTGTTATGGCTACTGGGTCAAGCGGTGAAAAAACAGACCTTGACACTGTCAAGGAGAGTGCGCCTGTTCAAGAAGCAGGCGGCAAAAAGAGAAAGGTGTCCCAGACAGGGGCCGCAAGAAAAGAAAGAAAATAGCAATCATTGGCAGAGGAGCGGCCGGATGAGTTCCGCCCTCAGCCGGCTGGTGAGCATGCGGACCTGATCTTAGACGACTCACGTCCTGACCGAACAGTCAAAGTTGGGACGACTGCTCTGAGAAACCTTGGTGACAACTTTCACAAACTATTGAAAGAATACAAGGACATCTTTGCATTCGAAGTCCATGAAATGCCAGGCATTAGTCCTGATCTGGCGTTACATAAACTGGCCGTGGATCCGAAAAAGAAGCCAGTACGACAAAAGAAGCGGAACCATGGCGAAGAAAGAAGTCAGGCGGCAGTCGCCGAAGTTAAAAAATTACTTGATGCAGGGTTCATTCGGCAATGTTACTTCCCAGACTGGGTTGCAAATGTGGTGCTTGTTAAAAAGCCGAATGGCACCTGGCGAATGTGTGTAGACTACACAGACTTAAACAAGGCGTGCCCCAAAGACAGTTACCCTCTGCCTAAAATTGATAACCTGGTCAACTCAACAGCCGGCCATGCCTTGATGAGTTTTATGGACGCCTATTCTGGTTTCCATCAAATTCCTTTATGGAAGAAAGATCAGGAGAAGACGGCCTTCGTCACTGATCAGGGGTTATACTGTTACACGGTCATGCCGTTTGGTCTTAAGAATGCCTCGGCTACCTTCCAACGAATGATAAACACTGTGTTCTTTGATCAGATTGGGAGAAACGTCGAGGCATACATTGATGATATGATTGTCAAGACTAAACTTCAGAAAGATCATCTGTCGGACCTCCGAGAAACTTTCGCCACACTCAGGCGGCACCATGTCATGCTCAATCCCAAGAAATGTGTATTTGGAGTTGAGTCTGGGAAATTTCTCGGATTCCTTATCAATCAGAGAGGAATAGAGGCGAACCCTGAGAAGGTGCAGGCGGTCATTGACATGCAGTCGCCTCGTACCATCCGAGAGGTTCAGAAGTTAACAGGTTGTCTGGCGGCCTTGGGAAGATTTCTAAGCCGATCAGGCGACAAATGTCTGTACTTTTTCCAGGCAATTAAGAAAAAGGCAAGGTTTGAATGGGGGCCGGATGCTGAGGCCGCCTTCCAGAAATTAAAAGTTCACTTGCATTCCTTGCCGAGGCTGGTCAGCCCTTTGCCCAAAGAGGTTCTCTACATGTACCTGGCCGTCTCTGATCATGCGTTAAGCGCTGTTCTCCTTGCTGAAAGGGATGGCTGTCAGCTCCCGGTCTACTTTGTCAGTCACGTACTGAAAAATGCCGAGTTGAGGTATCCCCTAGTGGAGAAATTTGGTCTTGCACTCTTCATGGCTGTTAAAAAATTGAAGCCCTACTTTTTGGCACATGCAGTCGTCGTGTATACAGACCAACCTATCAAGCGGCCACTTACCATCATGGAGTCGTCAGGCCGAATGATCAAATGGGCCATAGAAATACAGAGCCTCGAAGTTACATTCGAGCCTAGAAAAGTAGTGAAGGGGCAAGCCTTTGCTGATTTTATTGTAGAGATGACTCGTCCTCCTGACTCTCAAGTTCCAGACCAAGTATGGAAGGTATATGTGGACGGAAGCTCTACTTCAAATGGTTGTGGAGCAGGCGTCA